GGGGACCGGCCTCTGAATGTCAGTCCTTCTCAGGTCAACACCGAGAGCCAGTCTGCCTCACACAGACGTGGTGGGGTGGGAGGGGGTAAGAGCAGATGAAGATGAAAAGGAAAAAGCACGAGGACATTGATTACGGGAACATGATAAAATGAAGAAGAAAAACAGAGGGAAGAAAGTGATAAGAGACGAGACAGAGATTGGAGGACAAAGACAATAACGGAGAGGATAAGAGAACAAAATGTTGGGTTTGGTCATTTGTGGCAAGACTGAGTCTCTTCTGATCTATCAGTGTGTGTTTTTCTGGGTGCAGCAGGATGTCAAGTGACTTTAGGCCTGAGATTTAAGGGAGGCATTGAATGGGAGAAGTAATAGGGAAAGAAACAGAAAAGCAGCGCATACAACACAAAAACCACCCTTGCTTCTGCGTGCATCCGAAATGCAGGAATGCCCTCAAAGAGACAGACATAATAGCAGACAGACACACACACACACGCGTGCACACACACACACACCAAATACAATAGAGGTAGAGAGAAAGAGAGAGAGAGAAGTGCACTTATATAAAAGACATGCACAGTCATACACGCACACACTAGTGATTGTCCCAGTGCAGGCCATGAGGAGCCTGTCAGATTACAGGAGGGTAATTGAATGGTAACGGAGCAGACAACACATCTAGCACAGCCGGACTCCAGAGGCAGCCGCCACCATACCAGAGCTCAGGGGAAATTCAGGGCCCACTTAATAGTGAATTGGAGATGGGGCATTGTGTGTGTGTGTGTGTGAGAGAGAGAGAGAGAGAGAGAGAGCGAGTGAGCGAGAGTGAGTGAATGAGAGGGTGTGCTTAGTAGATGTGGCATAAAGGGAAAACACCCATGGCAGTGGTGGAAATGGTCAAAGAAAATTTGTAGAAGGCAGATTGAAGAAATTATACATGACATGCAAAAAGAAATCAAGCCAGAGAAAGAAAGAAAGAACAAAAACCTGAGTGCCCTCTTGCCATTGACCATTTCAAAAAGAAAAGAAATCGACAAGTGAGCGTTGTGAGCGAATCAAAGAAGAGCACGTGCAGCACGAAGGTGTATACGTGTGTGTGTGTGTGTGTGTGTGTGTGTGTGAAAGAGCGAGACAAGCAGGTGACTTCTGTTGGTTGCCTCTCTCTATAGAGCCAGCCGCTGAGTAGAAACTAACAAGTAACTTCACTCTAGTGAGAAACACCGTACAGGGAAGGACACGGAGAAGCAGATAGAAAGAATCAAAATGAAGAGCGAGATGCGTACGAACAAAAGGTAGAGAGAGAGAAAATTAAAGCATGGTGGAAGTGAGAAAGTAGACAGGAAAAGAGGAGAGAAAACAAGAAGGTCTGCTGGGTGTAAAGTTTCCCCTGGATATGATATGTGGATATGGGGATGTCATCAAGCCTGTGAAGTGGAAATAATAAAGAATTAGGATTGTCTCTGAAGACAGGGGAATTAATCCAAAATGAATTATGAAGGGGTGTTGGGGGGCAGGGGGAAAAAAAATCAACATCAGCTATTTCCTTTTCCTCTGCTTCGAGGCAGATAGGGGGCGGTTTGCGCAAGTACTGTGAATCCCATAAAAATTAAATTAATAACAAAGGGAAAAAAACACACACACACACACAAATAGAGGCGGAAAAATTAGTAGTACGGGGGTGGAGAGAGATAGTCGTACAGAGAGCAAGGGTACAGATGGAAAAAAAAAAGACGAGAGAGATTTGAGGGAACTGAGGGTGGGCACTGTTGCTGCCAGATTGCACTGCTCTTTTGTTTCCCCCCATCTTTCTGGAAAGGGCTGCCAGTGTTAAAGAGGAGATGCTGCAGAGGCCATTGTAATAAATGCCACTTGTAAATTGCGGAGTGGAATTATACAGCGTGCAGATGGATCCATACGCCTGAACAAAACGTGGCCAAAAAACCGGGAGCGATAATTAAGACTTAGGGGGTGAATGACAGAGCCATTTGTGACGACGGAATATGGCGTCTCCTAGCTCTCTGGGAAACAGAAGGGCTCGGAGAGGCTTGGTGTCACAAAACATTACCCACACAGCTGTTGGCTTTATGAGCAGCAATGGTGTGCTCCCTTCCTCCCCTCTCCCTCTCCCACTCATCCTCATCTACACTCTATCTCTTCCTAATGCCACCCTCGCACCCACCCAACATGCTCACACACCCTTCTCCCATTGGTGACCACACAGTGGTGCTAGTGTTTTACATTTTGTGATATAAATCCCCCCCCCCCCAAAAAGGGAAAAAGACAGGGACAATCACCATGCCATCAGCTTTTCATCCATTGTCACTCTGTTCTTCTTCTTCACCTCACACCACCATCCTTGCATCTATGTGAGACCAGACTTGTACCCCATCATTCATTCCCAGGCAAGAAGTAGAGAAGGCACTCCACAATGCACACAAATATAGAGTAACACCCAGGCTGAAAATTCGATAAAAAGCACTGACACTGACAGTGCTTGGTACTCTTTTGAATGGGAGTTTGGGTTTACTGGGGCTCTGGGCTGACTGTAAAGTAGGAAAATCGAATTCTGTTGTTTTTCTTCTTTCTCTTTGTGTTTAAAAAAAAAAAAAGTGTTTGTATGCAATCCCTGCATTCACAGCATCCACACAAGTCCGTGCATGCTGCGCTGCTTGTAATGTACAAGAATCATCCAGGCTTTGTTCATACTGTGGCTGATGCAATTCTCTTCAAAATCATTAAATACTGACTCTCTTGCAGTTCTGGGAACTCTCCACACCTGCTCAACAAGTGCAACCACACTGTCATGTGCTCAAATACCTCTTTTGCTTTGTGTCACTGCAAAAAAATGTTGCCATGTCTCTGCAAGAACACGACCAAGAGAAATTCCTGCACATTTATCCTACTTGGCCAATAAAGCGAATCTGATTCTGATGTGTCCCCCAAACTCTGCCCTCTAGTCTCTCTCTCCCTTGATCTTAAGTCTATCTATCTCTCTGCCTGGCTGGCCATCCTGTCTTCTGGTCTAGTCTACCTCTTTGTCTCTGTCCCAGGGGCCTCCACAGCGTGCAAAGTAGCCTGCGAAGTCTTAACTCAAACGAGACCCCTTCGCGCCCCGTTAAACCACCGACCTTCTCTGTCACTCCTGTCGCCCGCTGCTGCCGACGACGGGAGCCTGAGCTGCAAGCTAAGAGACCCCGAGCTCAATAAAAGTGTGGGTGATTAAACAACTCCCTTTAATTGCTCCTTTTGTGCAGGAATCAAACGGTCACACTTATTACTGAGGCAAGAGAAAGGGAGGCTGGGAGCAGTCGTTTCCACTGAGGGCCAGACACCCTCAGTGACCCGCTGCCCTCCCGTCACTACTCCTTTATCTGACCAAACAACGACTGTGTAGTGTGTGTTTACGTATGTGTACGTGTGTGTGTGTGTATGTGTGCGCGTGTGCTAATGCCCTATGTGTATTTACCCATGTGTAAATTAAGTATGCAAAGAAACCCGCTGAAACAAAGGGAGAGCAGAATAGCACCAGAGCTCCCCACAGTGGTCAAAGCTTAAACTACACACCAAATCCCCTCGGTTGGATCGAAGGGATTTGGAGTTGTGTGCCATCAGCCAGCTGGCTTTGGTAATGGGGGAGAAAGCCAAACCAGAGGACCATGTCCAACATGAGGGCCGGGTTTCAGAGATCATAGTAACACATGAACCATACACATCATCTGCAAGTCACACACATATATACAAATATCAGTACAAGGGCCCAACCACAGGCCCTGTCAAATGGGTCAGCTTACCAAGGGGAGGGGCCCAATTACCTTAGCCACAAATACACACATAAAGTGCCTTTCAAGGGTCCATGAGTGCTTCAGCTTCCCTATGATTATACCCACTTTCTACACACCCAGCACTTGTCGTACACATACAGCACATCCAGAGCCAAAACAGCCATCAGACTGGACTTTTGCAGCAAAGTAGCAATGTGCTGTTTTCAACTGGTTTGAAAGTAAAGAGCTTTCTGTGGTCAGAGAGAGCAAGCGAGACAAAGAGAGGGAGAACAGAGTGAGCATTTGGCTGATCAACAAATATTAGTGATCCTCTCTGAGAGGGAGGCATACCCTGCAATATTTCGAGGAGGAGAGATTACATTTAAAAGAAATCAATAACAACTTGAATGAATTTCTGATGTCCTGAATTGTAAACATTTAGATGTTGTAAGTACTTTTGCACAGGCATCTATGTATACTGGTATATTGCACTACTATTTAAAAAAAAAAACGAAATCCATTGTTTTTAAGAAGCAAAGTTAGTTTTAATAGTGATGTTTAAGGTCAAAGACTTTGTTTCTAACGAAAAAGAAACATAACGCGAAATTTAAGGAACGGGATCGCACCGGCAGGCCTATGGCGTGAGATTCTGCAAAATATATGCCACTCAAGTGCCTATTCACTTCTGTTGTTTTTATATCAGCATAGCGCTGTGCGATGTAGTTTGCAACTGTATGCTAATTCATCACCTATATTTTTATTTATTTGCATTTGTCGAGTTTGGTCTTCATGTGACTGCGTAAAAACGCTAATACCGAAAGTAAATGTCATACAAACATCTCTTTTGTGTTTCTTTAGGTACAGTTTAGTATATGTTGATTCGATGGCTTCAAGCTTCTCTTTTTTTTTTTTTTTGCAGCATTCTTGCTTTTTACACGATAATCATCAAAGACTGACACATTAATGACTCGGTTTTCTCAAATGCGAAACCTAATTTCTCTATGACATGCCAGTTTTTTAATATTTAGCATACTGCCTTACCTTTATATCCTACACGTGAGCGCGAATACACAGGAAAACATGTTGATCACCAACACAGGATTCAAACAGAACAGAGGACTCGAGCAGTCTAAGCGGTGGTGGAGTAATAGTGCCCCCTTCTGCTTAAAATGCCGCACAAAAGCTCAGAAACAATAGACATTTCAACACATATAATAAACAAAACGACGCCGAGAATAAGACTGTGCAAAACCAGGCTTTATTCTTATTTTTTTGTCTGCATCGCCCCCCCTTTCATCTCGATCATAATCACCATCACTGTCATAACATCATCGTCAAAAACATTACTCACCAGTTACAGTCAGCGAGAGAAACGACTCTCAAAAACACTCAGTGTCTTGGCAAAAACAGGCATCAGCTGTTAGAAGAGTCCCAAGTCCCACAGTGGGTCAGCTGTATGTGTCCATCTTTTTCTGGGCAATACATTTCAACAAGCTCTCCAGTGTCCTTATGTACAATCTGTTTTGTTTTTGTGCCCCACAAGTCCATTCAGTGGTCAGTTTCAGAAGACAAAATCCATCTTAGTACAAACACAGTTAAGATGTTGGATATTTTAGTCTTGCTGATTCCATTAACATTTATTTTATCATGTCTTTTTCACCACTTCCCGTCTACTGCAGGCCCAAGGACAGTCAAATTGTCCAGTTTAGGCGAACGCTGAGTAAGTGCAATGTCTATTATAATGTCAAGAAAATACAAAGCCACACATACATACATACAGTACATGACTAACTGATAAACTTGTTTAGCTATACAACATTGCCATTCTCCAACGTGAAACCAAAGAGTTGCACATTCATGCACCTCTATATAATATCCAGTCTCAATTGCGTTAGGGGTGAGAAGGACGTGAGCTCACCTGGACTAGATAATGTTTGTAGTTAGAAAACTGTCCATGATTTTCTGTACAGGTGATTTTGTTTGTGGATCCACTGGTCAGTGTAGTTCATACACAAAAATATTCATTTTAAATTGAGATATTCATTGGATGTTTAAGTAGTAAAGACTACTTAAAAAGGGGTATATGGCAGACTGTGGTAGTTTTTAAACAGAAAACAAACTTCAAGTAGTTGATGTAACATGTTATATGACATCTGATCAACATTTTTTTCCCCATCAAGTGAGACAAGAGTAATGTGTATAATTTCACCTATATATTTTGCTGCATATTGCTGTTTTTGAAGGTCAAACCTGACAGCCAAAGTCACCCCACTGGGTTTTTAAATGCTTGAAATAACTGTTTGTGTTGAAGAACTACAAATCCCATTATTCTTCAAAACAGGAACAAAGACAAAACCTTGATGGAGCGGCAAGTCATCACAACAAAACACTGTCCACTTTATCGTAATTGTGGAATGAAAGGAAGAGAAACAGATCTTTACCAAAACAATAAACTGAATTCATTTAAAATGAGCAAAAACAGTGCTAATGTCCTAATTTCATAAAAATATCAACAGCAAATTTTTCAATATATGAATCCTTAAGGAAATTTTATTACATTTGTCCTTTTTGTCACAAATTCGTCCAGAGAGAACAAAGCTTCTTCTTCTTTTTTTTTTAGAGCTCTGACATTTGGGGGTTCTAAAGATTTAAAGTGCATCCTTAATCAAAACTGTCTTAATCGTTCTGTGAAAAATTCTAATCATGGTAAACCCCCACATCAAAAGCAAAGTGCTTAATGTGTATGTGATCTGAGTCTAAACCAAACCAACACCTCGTGTTTTGGATTCTGGGAGATTCATTGAGTATGCAGGGATGAAACGACAGTGCAATACTTGCTGCTCAGGGGGCTAAACATATCACAAACATTAATTCATACCATTACTGAAAGAACACTGTATAATAAGAAAAGGGATAAAGACTTTGCAAACACAAAAGTAAAAAAATAAAAAATTCCATGTGTATGTAAATCCATCACTTACTCGTTTGCCACAAAGGGAACAATTATCATTTGGAATGGTTATTTGTTTTACTATATATTCACAGAGAGAAATAAATAAATAAATGGAGATGAAGAGTTCAAAGGAACAGTAAAAATGCAGCAAAAAAGAAACCAAGGTCAGGAGAGTGTGTGTTGATAATATATCCGATGACTACTGCCATTTTTCTTCACTTGTTTTAATGATATGAAATGAGAAAAGAAGACATTACCCCAATTAAGCCTAACTGTAGATTAAATGACCATGTAAGGTGTAACAATTTGGAAAAAGGAGAAAAAAGAAAACAAGGAGACCAGAACAAAGCAACTTCTGAAATAATGTGCTTAAGAGCTCCCTCATCCTTCATTATCAGGCCTGAGGACAGCCCAGCTGAAAACATTCGCTAAAACTGTCTGCCTGCCTGTGTGCCTTCCACAGAGAAACGTATGGATCCAAACACTGCTGGTGAACCTCCATTAGCTCGAGTAGATCTGGGTCCCAATCACACGCATGATCTCCTTCTGCACCTTAGGCTCTTGGGTGTTGATGTTAGCATCTCCTACTTGGCCATCCTCATATCTGCGCATAGAGAGAATACTTTATATTTCTGCTTAACACCTGGTCTTGATAACGTCCCTGCCCTTTCTACTGCACTTTATTTTGGATATAACTGCCCAACTTAATCGCACAGCTTTAATAAGAAAGACCTGTATTCATTCTTCTGCCTACATTCCTGGGCTGCTCGTCTATTTACATCACTTCCGCATTCCCACGCTGTCAAATTAAATTCTGTTGTCATCAATCAGGCCTAATATTTTTCTTTCCCTCTTTCTGCAAGCCGCTTTTACATACACTTCAAATCTTAGAGCGTTTCTGTCGTTCTGCCTTTCAGACTTAGATTCATGCGACCCACTTCCTCTTCATCTTCACCTGGCCAGAGCTGCTTATCCAAGTCTCCACCTGCTTCATCTCTACCATCACTAGTGTCTAGACTCCAGGGTGTCCTGCCCTACCAGACTCTCATCCCCAAATAATTTAAAACTAAAACTCTGTATTTCATTAAATCATGTTCAGTTTTTCCAAATATAGTTTACCTTATTTCATTTTAAGATTAAGATTTAATCGAGGTGTTAAGGAAATAGGCCTTTAAAAGGAACAACTGAGGTTTGGCTTGATGCTCCTGTCTGGGGAGCAAGGAAAAATGATTTTAGAAGTTGTGTTCTGACATCTTTCTGTTTTTATTCTAACCACACTCTCCATTCTGGAAATAAGAATAAGCACACACATAGCACAAGAGTTCATTTATGTTTAGCTGTCATTTGAGTTAGACTGTAAGAAATTGAAAAATTATTTTCTAACATATTGATAAAATCTGCTATTTGATCCGATCTTTAAATCACCTGCATCTTTACGCAGTGTAGCAGATTAAAAAAACGAGGAAAAAAAACAAAACAACATAAAAACACCAACTATGCATTCAAGAGTGACAATGACAAAATTAGATGGGTATGCCAACTCGATTTTGTAATAATTCCAAGAATTCAGTTGAAATTATCAAGGCGCTGAAAGTTACTGAAATACTTACACAAAAAAGAAGCGAGTACAGACATGGTCAGAAACCGGACACACCCAGATGTTTCCATGCTTCTGCAGATCCTTTGATGTGATAACTGTTAAAATCAGAGAACTATGTTTTATCAAAGGAACGTTATTAGAAATTGTAAACTGTAACAACAGTGCTTCTTGTTCTGCTTTGATTGTAGTGTTGCTGTTGTTTTGGAATTATCTGATACAGCATAAAATGTATTATAGCCTAAATGTGCTAAATGGCCTTATTATTCTAAGTGATGCAATCTAAATCTTTATTTTTATTGTCTCCTTCAATAATAGCAGTGATCATATTGCCATGACTTCATAGCAAGAGCAACTGCATTATAATATCTTTTAATCTGTAATAGGACTCTATTTGTATTTTACTTTATCAAGGTTTGTCAAGTTTGAAAAGGGTTGAGTAGAAAATATCAAAAATGTGTGCATTAGTTGTTACATCATGTCACATTTAGTCTGTAGTTAATTTATTTCTAAAAAAGCTATAATGATGTGACTCAGTTTAACCCATCTACCAATAATATTACGCCTCCTACATAATATTACCTTCACAAAGAGCAATACAGTTCAAGTTTCGACTCTGAAGAAACCTTGACTGGATGGGACGGCTCTGTTGAAAAGCAAACATCACTCAATTAGTTGTTACAGAAAAGGCGACGATGTAACTGAAGCATCCAAAAGACAAATAATTAATGTTTAGAAATACTGAAATTATATGGTTCGCCACAGTCAGGTTCAAGGTGAAGATACAAGTGTTTAAAGCATGAAAAACGTCAAAAAACGCAAACTGCCTTTTGGAAACCAACTCTCATCTAACCATCAATGTTATTTTAAAAAGAAATCGGATCTTTTAAGAGATCAGTATAATAAAACTGTGACTCTTCACTGTCCCTCACCTGTGGTATAGTGTTCATGCGGTTGTAACGCTGCACTAGTTCATCTTTGGTGGGCATGCGGTGCTGTCCTTTCCCCATTCCTGCAAGAAGCAGCACACAACAAATAAAAACAGTCAGAACAACTTTACCTCAACTCAACCAATATGTGGGAAAAAAAAAAAAAAAAAACTTTCTCTGGTGAACTTTTGATGTCCTTGTCAACAGGTCCGACTTTAATATAAAATTCACTGCCCTAAATGGTACCAAATACATGCTACATGGAAAACAAGTAAAAAAAACAAATATTCAGCGTGAGACATTTTCAGTATTGATAAACAGTTCAAACAGTACTTGTTTTAGACTGTGCCTATAATTAAAAAAATATTTGTACTTAGAAAATTAGCTGGGAAAATAAAACCAAGTAGATGTAATGTCAAAAACTGTAACATCTGTTAAGTGTTTTGCTTTGTTTTAAGAATTCCACATCCATTCTCCAAGTTAGCATATGTTAATAGCTGGCCCCCACTAGGAACACACTGTGCTGAAGTCCTTATTATCGCCAGCAAACTCTATAAGCCTTGAAACATCTTTGCAACCCTCAACTGACAAAGGCAAAGCCAGATGAAAACCAAAAAATGTGAAAACACACAAATCCAATGACAAACCTATTTTTATACAGCCACAACATGAAGCATGGCATGGCAGGTGGCACAGAAGCTCAGAGGCCCGAGACCCAGCACCCAAAAATGGAAACACAGTACAGCACAACAGGATAACATGGCAGGCACCCACAAGTGAAAATGGAGTGCTCCACGATGTCAATTAGGCCATGTAGCAAACACAAAGGATACTCGGTGAACATGGTGGAAAAAGCGAGAGGGGGGGGGGCACAGGGGTCTGAATGGTGATGAACCGTTCCTACCTGAGTATCCAAAAGATATGCTGGAGATGGGGCTCAGATAGATGCCCTTTCCGTACGCTGCCCCATGCAGCTTGGGTTTGAAAAGAGCAGGAAGGAAGGGTCACTGAGCATGTGCACAGGACAGCCTTACACACACATGTATATATATGTACACTTGGAAATGCTAACACATACAGTGAAATTCATCTCAGATCAACTGTACTTAAATTAGCCTGTGAATGTCAATGATTTTAATATGGATGTGACAGTTCCCCTCAACAACCAAGCATACTAAATACACCCACACATGCAAAGTGCAAATCCAAATTCTGCAAAGTAGAAAGCGTCAAAGAGAGAGATTGTTCCAGGAATCTGAAGCAATTCATATACAGTTACACCTGCTAACTTCTTTCAACATTATGCATTAGAGATCAAGTGATACTTTTGATTTTTGTGCTCTGAATTTTTTGCATAAATGTCCAGGTATTCAAATAATACTTGCATGAAACTTGAAATGTAGACATAAATGGAAAGAAAGAAAACTGATTATAAGGTGAGCCTTCTCTCTGCAATGTCTGCAGGGAGGAAAACAGAAGCGCCACATGTGTAACGACCAAAAGTCAAATTAAGAGGAAGAACAAAGAGCCACTTGACTGGGAATGCACGAGGGAGACAGCAGTCGGGACATTGCACATCTGGAAGAAATGAAAAGGAACAAGAGACAAGAGATTTTGTGTGATGGCTGGAGCTAAAGGCAGATTCAGTCATCCTCCTCCTCCTCCTGCTGTGAAACACAATGACAGAGGAAGAGTGTCAATGCTCAAGGTGAAATAGAGAGAAGGGGGAGGCAGACGAGCACCAAAGCAAGATCAAAGATGAAGACTTCAAAAAGTTGGAGAATAAAGAAGGCATAAATGAAACACATCAGCACGATAGAGCAATCATGGCTGAAAGATCCTTGAGATTTCAGATTTAATTGTGTTTAATCTATTTTCAGGACAAGCCTGAGTCTCTCCCGAGCAGCAGTCTTTATCAGCTGTATTGTGCAAATGAGACAGTCTGTTCTCTCTGAAGATCAAATCTTTTCCCTTGTTTTTTTAAGAATTATCTATGAAAAACCAGATTGATTACAACTACAACAAAATAAAAGTGAGAACAAATGCAAAAATTAATAAGAATTAAAAAAAAATAAAAATCACAAATATAATTGGGTATGCCCTTCTTTCCTGGAAAACTCTATAGTTCTTATATGGTCATTTGTTCCACTTTGGTATTAACAAGTTTTCTATAAACATTTGAATGATTTATATAAAATATTTTTGCGTATATAAAGAGTAGTGACAGTTACTAACCTTTCAAAAGAGATCCCTATTCACTCTGTTGAAGGCTGTACTCACTGCCACAGAACTTGTCCTCTGCGTCCTTTAAATACACATCTAACCTACTCAGTGCTCTAGATGGTTGACCCCAACAGGGCACACAGGCTCTCAGCTGACACCACAGCCCATTTCCTTTGTCCCACAACAGGAAGGGACATGCTGTCTGCTGTTGCCAGCAGAGAAGGCAGAAAGAGGCTGACGCTGGCAAGGAAAATCTCCTAGTGTGCCCTGCTTGCTAAAATGCCAATTGCAAAGCTGATGAAAAGGAAGCTGGCATCCATTAACTGTGAAAATGAATCAGCCGGACAGCGAGCCTGCTTTGTGCAAGGGCAGGTTTGCTGTCCGATAGGAGATGCATCCAGCTAACTGCCAGGGTTACATACCTGCAGTTTGGTATAAGAGGCATTGACTAGTCCATTTCTCAGAACAGAGTGCCAGTTCTCTATATGGGAACCACTAGAGCAAGTGTAGAGAGGGAGAGATAAGAAGATAAAACAAATACCATGTGAATATAACAGTGTAATAGCGTGGAATCGCTTTTTCGTATTGGCTCGATCTTTGCTGTTCAACGCTGGAAAAAAATGAACAAAAACAAACATTTTGTTCTCTTTTCGTAATAGAAAAACTATAAGATTAAATATTTTGTGATAACATATTTTACAAAGTATGTTATCACAAAATATTTAATCTTATAGTTTTTCTATTTTAAAATTCATCATTTTTCATGAACTGGGTAATTGAAGCTTATTACTGGCAAGAGAGAGCAGCAACAGGGATGAGCAACTGGATGCTGAATATACTTGCATTTATCAGCATGTAAATTACTGCATAAGAGGATTTTTTTTTTAAATTTAATTTTAAAAAGAAAGGGTTAAACAAGCTATAAATCTTTTGGTTTTTAATAATTTAACATTCTACAAAATCTACAACTTAATTCATTAAAAGAGAAGATAACATCACAATCTTCCAGATTTATATTGGTTAATTAAGCCTTAAAACACAGGCAAGTAGTTTTTTTTATATTTTTAACTAATCAGCCTTTGAGCATAATTAAAGGAACAGTTCGCCCCCAAATAATTTTTTTTTTTGAGCTGACTAGTGGTGCTGTTTATCCATCTGGATTGTTTTGGTGTTAGTTGATAAGTTTTGCAAATATCAGCTGTACGGATTTCACTTGAATATGAGGAAGCCAGATTCTGCTGCTCAAAACACCAAAATACACAAATCTCAGCAACAACATCTATTTTCAGTAATCATGACCCAGTATAAGGTTACTTTTCTACTGATTTTTTTCAAATATATTATTTGGTGATTTGAGAACCATTAGGCAAGTGCCATTTAATTCCCTTATATGTGAGATGGTCTCTCTTTTTTTCAAAAGGTCATGTTTCTATTTATATCAATATAAAAGAAAATTGCAGTCAGGCTAAATGAAGTATTTGGCATTTATTGTTATCTGATTATTACATTTCTAGTAGGAACCATCATGCAGAGAGACTGTAAGCCCTGTTGGTGAATCAGTTGTACCCTGCACGTGCTCAGATGGGTTGTGAGTATCTAAAATATTCAGCACAGGCCCCATCTGCTACAGTACAAATCTGTATCTCACAGATATTGCTGGCTCCATGTGCTGGCTAAGAAAGGTGGTTTCTCAGTCCAGGAGAATGACCATTGCTCTGTGCTGTTATTTGTTATGGTTCCATAAAAATCTGCTAAAGTGGCCCCTTTCAGCAAATGCATAATGACCAGGTGTTACACTGAGACATGTTCATGTTTGCAAAGTA